TTTCATGTCTTCCTCCCACAGGTGTCCATTGCCAATCGCACAAATTCAACTATCGAAAATAGTTTCTTTTGCTCGAACGTCTCCAATGTCTGTCTAGTTTCTCACAATTTCCACAATTTGTCTACTTTCCACGAAACGATCGCTTCTAAAACCTCCCGATGGGAGAAACGGAATTATAGCCGGGTCTATGATTTTCATCCAGAGTACTTGTGTTTCTTACCTCTAGTCTTTCTATCCTCGTAGTCGCTGTTATCCGATAGATCGGAATAGTATTCCTGATCCCTCGACTTCACCTTGCCCCTTTTACGATTGAACGACGACGCGTTTCCGATATCGGCTTTCATTCTGCTTTCGGAGATCCTGCGTCGCGGTGACCGATCCCTCTCCACTTTCTCTTTGTACTTCAGATTTCGCATTTTCCCCATGTGCTCCACCGGTCTCTCTTCCTTTCGCGATCCACTTCGTCGTCGCCGTCTTTTCTGACGACTACGACTTCGTTTGCTCCTCTTATCGCGATGTTGTTTCTTCCGTTTACCTCTGCACAGGATTTTTTTTATCATTTTTTACTTTTAATTGCAACGATGTATACTTTCATCTATTTTCATTCGACTCTTTCGAAACCCTCCGATAGCATTACCTTGATCACCTATTCCTTGATTACCTTGATTACCTATTTCTGTTTACCAATTTGTTGAACGTGTAAAACATCCCCATTTGAATGTCATTTGTGGACGAGGGCCACGATGGCAAAATCGCAGGGAAATATTGGGGGCGAGTACAAAATTATAAGCTTCCTTCAAGTGCACTACAAACACGCTGCATTTTGTACAAACGCAACGTCCAATTCGTTGAAGTATAATTGCTCGCGTATTACTGGGCGAAGTCTGAGAGTTCCGCGGGAAATGTTTGCAGTCTACTCGCGAACTGTATTTTCAGGGACGCAAATCAGTTAAGTAAGCGATTCATCGTAATAAAATCGCTACGAAACGGGTTTTTAACGCGAGGCTACGCCGTTTTGCGCGATCCCTCGAAATCAGAAGCGCCGCTTTATCGTCAAAGGGAAAAATGAGAGAAAGGGGTCGCTTGAATTTCAGAGAAAAATTAATTCCATTGTTCGACCAGTGAATAATCAAGTTCTAAAAGGGAGAAACGCTGTCGATGGAATGTTTACAAACATGCATCGCGACTATTATTTGTTATCGCAGTCAACAAGCTCTGAATCCCATCTCACATTTACATGTCCTATCTGACTTTCTACGCAATGGCACACCTTATTCTTCTTAAATCTTTGTTTTCATTTAGCTTTACGCTTATTACTTTGTTCCTTTTGTACCCTTTCTAGTTTTCTCAACCACCCAGTTCCTTCCAACTTTATCTTATTATTTCCTGTCCCATTACACTCCTCCACAAATGTTTCGGCGTACTATCTACCAGACCACACGTGACGCACACTCCCGTTCTTACTAAACTAATATTCGTTTTCCTTCTTCAAAAAATATCCACACCTTTAGCCATCCTCGTCGTCTGTCTGCGAATACTTCGCTAACCTCTTTACCCAACAAAATTGACAAAATCTATTGTACATCTTTCTCTTTCTCTTTCTTCTCGAGGTAAATTCCCTCGTGGTACATTTCCTGAAGCATTTTTCTAAATCCATTTCGCCCAAGAGTTTTTTCTCGCGCCTCTTTTCCCTTGAAATGTTTTAACCTTTCAACCGCGAAAGCCTCTCAGGTAGTGTAAATTATTTGACGAATGGCTGCTAAACAGGACGGACTCGAAATGTCGAGAAAATATGAGGTGTATCTTTTTGTCAATTGTAATCTACTCCTATGAGCTTAAGGAAGGATATGTGACATCTTTTTTTGTTGCTAAACTCTTTAAACTTTTCGTTTGAGAAGAAGCTGAGCTCTCTTGATTGAATAATCAAGTTTTACTTCGCACCTGTTCTCATCTCTGCAATCAGAGCTCGATCTCCTAGCTGATGGCACTCCATCTAGAGTAGTCATTCTTTCCAGGGATTCTCCGTCGTTATCCTCGGTCTCGGACTGCTTAAGAGGCGCCGGATTTAACGTGAACAGTGCCTTGTAACGACCACTTCGGTGCCGCAGGAGCCCCGCGTTTACTGCGTGCTTGAGGGCACGATGGACCTAAAAATTGATCTTCTATGAAACCGAAGACGATAGTTTCTCTCCGCGTTTACGACTCCGAGAATCCCCTTTTATTTTTTATTTGATTCCATATTTCCCGACTCGTGTTTCCACGAACGAATGATTTCTTCGGATAAACTCTCTAGTGTTTGCAATAATGGAAAGATAAAGTTACCATTATATCTCAAGTGGAAATAAAGTTTAGAAGAGATATCGGAGAGTGGATCAGAGTTGTTTAAACTAACAGGGCAAGCAATGTTTAAGTAGACTGTGATCGAATAGCACTTGAATTACGTTCGAAATACCAAGGTTTTCCATTGCAACAAATTTTTCCACGCTCTGTACAACGTCCTGGGGCCATTACAGGTATCAATGCTGACGAGTTCGAAAAATACAATGCAAGCTGTTCTCGCAAACAAAGCTTCGGCGTGAGAAAAATGCTAAGCCTGTGCAGGCTTTCAGAATTCTAGTATGAAAGAGAATGCTCCAAGTGGCTTTCTCGGGCAAAGATGCCAGCTTCACGGTTTCGTTCCATCGATTGGACACGTTTGGAAATTCCTGGAATACTTTGAATTGTTTACGAACTATCTACCATACCGTGGCTTGGGATCCCGCGAATTAGAAGTCGATCTTTGGTGAAATAGACTTTGGAATATCTGTGGGAAAAGGAACTTAAACAGGATTTTTAGTCTCAAGGCATTGTTTTTTAACAATCACAAGGTAGATAAATAAAATTAAACGATGACTTTGCCATGCGTGTATACACATGCGTCTCTGTCACCTGCATCGTGAGGTTCCTCGGGGTGGATTTGGAAGTTCCCCGTAGGAAGTCGAGGACATCTCTAGCAGTTGATCCTTTGATCCCTCGCAGATGTACCACCGCGTCAAGAACACGGTTCATTAGCCGTGGATTCGACGGGTGCCCCATGTTGTCTTAAAAGCTGAAACCACTCGTAACTTCCAGGCTTATGCGCGTACACTGCGAAAAGAACGAAAGAAGAAGATTGGTATTCCTTACGGGAAAGGATAGTTGAGATGGATGTTACCTTGGAGTATTTAGGATGACGTCGATGTTAACGATGAGAGTTTTCTCATGTCTATTCACATACATGAATACAGAATTTCTCTAAACCACAAATTTAATTAAAACATGTCGTATTCTACGGAAATGACCGACAAATTGACATTTATTGAAACGCGTTGCTTGGCATTTTTGTTGTCTTTTTTTTTTCTCTCTCTAGTCTCGATTAACTTCAGCACACTTTGAATCGAATCTGCGACAAGTCTATCACGTGACAAGCTTTCACTGCTTCGCACATCCTCAAACACAGACAAACTTAAAAAAATGGACTCATCGGACTAATCACGTTATAAAACCACCCGTTTCCGTATGTAGCCTCCTAAAATAAATCAGCATTTTCGTTGGCAACCCTTCCGTTTCAATTTGGCTGCTTCCTGTATGCTCAGCGAGTGATCATACCCGTTTGAGAGAACGAATTGGGAAAGGGTGGCGACGTTTAACGAAGAAGCGACGTACAGACGAAAACGTTGCTGATTATCGTCGCGCGTCGCGGTGAATTAAATTGAAAGTCAAACGCAGTTTCTCGGATGACGCAGGGGCTTCTCGCGCGAGGTGTTTGCCGTAGTTGGGGCTTGTTTGCTGGAATTGCGGCCTCCGCTCGTTTTCCAGGATCCGCGGGACACTGGCACGGTGTTTTGTGTCTCATCGAACGACACCGAGTTTCCACGGGAACGTCGGTTTCCCCCGTACAAAGGAACACCCATCACGGACGAATTAATTCGTTAATTCGATTCCTTTCCGCGGCGGTCGATTGGCTGCGCCCGCACGCTCGTCGGAGCACGCTTCCAGAATAGTATTAATTATCGTTGATCCACCACCGCGTAATCGAAGCGTACCTGTCACTGACGCCAATCGACGAGCTCGACTGCAATGTTCTCCAGTAGGAGGATCGCTCTAAAGGAAAATCTCTGAAAATTAATTCCAAGGAAATAAATTCCTTTATTTGCAGAGAGTTGCTCGACTCTTTACGACTCTGATATTTAATATTGGTATTATATGTTGACGATGTGTGTGAACATGTGAATATGTATATCGTTATCTATCGTCAAGAATGAGACTGTTTTCTTACGAGAATTTACCCTAGCTCTGCGATTAATTTCCAGTGTGAAAAAGACAATTATTATAGGTAATATTTTTGAATTATATTTAAGTCTGTAGTAGTTTGTTTTATATCCATCCATGTTTGAAGTCACCTAATCTAGCTCAACTGAAAATCGCTGAATCCTGGCTTCGATTCACCGAAATCATTCCACTCATTCGTAATCCATCGATTTGTTATTTCGACGCGGGGATCCAAAAGATGCAATCTTCCGCAAGAACAGAATATAGCATCCGATTCGAGCTCCAAACTCTATTCCGCGATAGCTCTACGTCACGCTCTATTTGTTCCCCTCGCATCAGGCGTTTATTTTATTATCCTTCCCTGGAGAGGTCCTTCTGTCATCAGCATATTCATTCATCGGATCGCTAACGAACTTTAGAACCGAATTCCCACACTCCCTTTTTTTCATTTGCGCGGCGTGCATCATTTGCCATGGAATAAAACCGGAATAATTTCGACCTCTGTTTTCACTCGTCGACGCAAATCGTTGTCTACACTCACGACAAAGTTTTATCGGTGACGTGGTCCGAACGAAGCTAAAATGCTTGGGCTATCAAGCATCTGTATATTTCTCTAGTATCATATGTTTCACGGTAAGATAATTGTAACCTGTGCTACTATTATCTGATTCAGATGGAATTTCATTTCATGGATAACCTTTTTGTTTCAGAAGCAGAAAGTGTCGAAACGCTCGGCGTTTGAAGCGAATTGATGAACGAACCACGACGCGTTGTAAGGGAGGATCAGTCCCAGGACATCATGAAGCAGCAAGTCCTACTGGCCCTCGCCAATCTAATCACATCCTACGCATCTTTTCTGTAAGCATGCCATTTTCTTGCTAGCACATACCAAGCTATTTAAATAGATTTCTTATTGCTCGAGCATCGTACCAACGTGCACACATTTAATCAGTTTTTTAAGTAGAAACTCCTTGAAACGAGATTCAACTTTGAAGAGAGTACCCAAGCTGATTGAATCGCACGGGCTAGCTTTGAATGATTTCCGATCGAAGTGCATTCTGGATGGAAAACCATAAATGCAACCGTGGAATATTCGGAGGAAGGACGATCGTCGTAATGCAGATCGTTGGTACCCTCCTCGATCCCTCTTGTCAGACAATTAACCCAATTGGGATCGATCGCTGAATAACCCTTCCTTCCTTAGCGTGGCTCTCGTAATTGTTCATATCTCCGTTTCCCCACTCGCGTTGAATTAATTGATCATTTTCGAAACGTGAGAACAATTGCTCGACGACCTATTTTTAAAGTGTCATGGAAGTAAAAAATGACTCGGACATTTTACATCGCGAAGTGGCTAGGAATAATGACAAAATATAAAAACAGTTCCGTGATTTAGATTTTAAAACAGAAGTTGAAATATCTGCGATTGGTTAAATTTAGTTCGTTGGATGTGCCCAAATAGAAGCATACATATAGGAGGTACGCGTCTCGGAACATCGCGGTAAATGGAAGCATGGCTTGTCCCGTGCACTGATGCGTTTACTCAAGCATAGAACAGAGTACCGTGCAAATGGATCGAAGGCGTATAACATACCATGGTTCGAGTAATTGAGCTACGATATGTCGACTAGTTGCATCGTAGTTTGTTGTCACGCGAGGTCGCTAAATAAAATTAACCCTCCGAAACCGATGTATCGAAACACTTTGGACAATCAACGCTACCAGGAAAGGAAAATTACATCGAAAGAATGAATGAGGAATCTGTTGGAACTTGTTTAAAAAAAAATGAATTTCCGAGTTTTAACGAAAGGTCATCCTTAAAATAGAAATTAAAATTTAGAGAGAGAATTTCTTAATTTTCTAACGGCGTTGCTTCGTAATTTTGAAAATGTTACAGAGCTGCGACGGGGACGAAACCGTCCACGAGGCAGAGGACGCAGAGCAACAATCACAGCAACATCAGCGATCTGCTGGACAATCTGCTTCGCGGTTACGACAACAGCGTTAGACCGGACTTCGGTGGACCGCCGGCCACCGTTGAGGTCGACATCATGGTACGCAGTATGGGTCCGATTTCAGAAATTGATATGGTTCGTATCTCAACGTTTCCTTTTGTTCTTCTTGAAAGATGGGAACGGTCCTCGACAAAGTCCTCATTCACTGTTATCGCATGCGTGGTAGCTTCGATTCAATTCCTTGGACGAGTGTGTTTCTCCATCGACTGACAAATATTACGCGTAGAAATTAATTCTCCGTCTTTATATTTGTTTCAGACGTACTCGATGGATTGCTATTTTCGTCAATCATGGGTGGATCGACGTTTGGCTTTTCAAGGGGGTAAGGAGACGCTGGCGCTCAGTATATCGATGCTGAAGAGGATCTGGAAACCGGACACGTACTTTTACAACGGCAAGCACAGTTACTTGCACACGATCACCAGCCCCAACAAGTTCGTCAGACTCTATCAAGACGGCAGAGTGCTCTACAGTTCGAGGTATGTGCATATTTCAATAAAAAACGAACACCTCTGAAAGCTTTGTGAATCAAAAGAAAGACATTCCCTCGCATAGGTATTCCCATTATAAAATACTTATTAAACTTGTATCTTCCCTTAATTTCGATATAACACCCCCTAAGAATCTTTAATCTTTGGCCAACGTGTTTCTTGAAAAGTATCGTATTAAAGAACGATGTACTTTTTAAAGAATGGCCCCGCTCCCGACGGATGATTCTTCACGAGACTGCAGACGTGGGTGCATGTGGGCACACGTGTATAGAGCCACCTTGAGCTCAAGGGTTAATTCTGGCGTGCACAATAGAGCCGATCCAGAAGACTAGGTCAAGAGAAAGGGAATGGGTTAACAAAGGGGAAACGTACATCGCTTGATTCCCGTGCTCTGTGTATTTCTATTTGTCTTGTCGGACTAGCCGAAATAGTCGAATTGTCGAATCCTTCCAACGGGCCAGACTCAGAAATTTAGATGTCATATTTCGCCAACGACGCGAACAGGCTCGCCTGCGGGAAACTGGCGGGGGCTCTTTGTGTTCGCGAGCGAAATACCGCGAGGATTTACAGGTAGCCAACAACAGATCCTGCAAAAAATATTAGCGCGGTTTAGGAATCGTTCAAGTCCTTTGTCTTTGAAGCAGAATAGGTCAGGCAGGTCGGATAGGTAACAGTAGGTCATTGCCTTGATATGATTTATTACTAGTATTCGATTAGATTTTTAGTAATGATAATAATTCATTTATTAAATTACAGAATTTGTCTCGTTTTCTTTATACGTTCGAAACGAGTGAGAATTATATAGCTCGATAATAATTTGACATCCGTGATTTTTAAGAACATCCTTGCTATTAGAAATAAATAGTTCTTGGAAGGATGCTTTTACACTCTGGTCGTAATGAATTCCCACCGATAACCATTTACGATCGACTCTACGTGACATTCGTATTTTCATCAAAATCGGTTGTAAAAGTGCTGGTGCTAGTTCTCTGTACGCGATCGGCGTGGAAAATCGAATTCCTTCGGAAACTCTCTCTGTACACGTTTCTGACCGATTGGTGGCCATTAAATGTCGATCACGTCGCGCTGTTTGCACAGTACTTTATTAGCTACTACTACAGCACTCCGTAAATATTTGTTCGAACAGCTTCTAGTTACATTGCGGAGATTGAACACGGCTAAACGCGGTATTTTTAAGTATTTTCTCCTCTCCAGCCAACTTGTCACAGGGTATCGTTATCTATATAGATTATTGGAACATTTTTTTTTTTTTTATTAAACTTCACACTTACGAAAGCAATACTTAATTCACTTTCGAATAAAAATTTCAGACAAGCCCATTTCATTTCCAATTAACGAATTAAACGTACACACAGTCACGAAATATTTACTTCTTTATCACAAAGAAGCTTGCACAAGAGCCCCCTATAACATATTCAATTCTTGGACGATTATCAGGACCATCCTGCCAAGCATATTTTCTTATTAACAATAACAATTCTAACATCTATTACCTGCGTACGTGCTCTGACGTCATTACGACTAAAACGAACGCGATTATGCGTCCTCCAGTTGTAAAAAGATGTTGCTTCGCGGGATTTAAAAGCTTCCAGTGGAAAAAGTCGTCACAAGTCAGACGTGTCTCGTTCCGCTTTATCTCCCGGCTATTCGCGTTGTCAGCCCGTAAAAGTTTATTACGCTTTTTTTTTTATGGATTTGACACTTTCCTCGGCAATCGTGGGGGGATAAGCCCTGTCTGCACGGAACATACAAGCGTGCACGCGTGCGAATGCATCGATGCAAAAATGGGTCGACCGTCTTTGCACTACAAACTTCGACTTCGTCAGCTCGACTGGGAACACGTTTCCCAGGTCCCTCAAAGGGATCTGGTTACGTATTCGTTCCACAGCTGCGTCGAATTCGTTATTAGCTATTTTCCACATCGAGTACGATAGGCTGCAAATTGCGTGTATACTTCGTTGTAGTGTAGGAATTTTTTGAAGGTATAACAATTGTTGATAAGTGCACGAAAGCTTCGGGCCACGGTTGATGTTCCACTCGTTATTGAGAACAATTTGCTGTGTGTAAAAAATATGACACTAGAGAGAGGAGAATCGCCAATGAGGTCGAGTTACGTAATAAAATTTCGGAGAAGGTCAAATCAATAAATTGATAAGCGCAAGTGAGAATCCCCTTGGTCGCGAAACTAATAAAATGTCTGTGCGGGGGCGACACAATTTTCCATGGAATACTGTCTCATTAAGAATATTAAAAAATGTAACACTGGGGACGGGCGCCAGATGCATACGAAACTGGGAATTAAGTTACGACCCTTCCAAGAAATCTGCGGTATATTCTTGTTAGTCTCCTGGGAACGTTACTATTTTTCAACAGTTTTTTTTTTTTTTTTTTTGTCAATTTTTGCTATCATTTCTTCTCCCATATTTAATTTCTTGCATTTGTAAATTTTCACACATTTTCGTTATTATTTTTTTGGCCAGAGGATTAAAATACACGAATTTAAAAATCTTTGACGTTATCTTCTTAATTGACGCATTCGAGCTGTAATTCGGCTTTTCAAGTTTCACTTTTCACAGATAAAAAAGTTTCAAGAAAGTTCGTCTTATTTTCCATGCAACGCCGTCGTCCATTTACATTTAAATTAACAAGCGCGTGAAACTTATTAATGGGATCTTCTCAGTGTGAATATGAGAATTAAAGTACTTATTTAAAAACGGTTTGATAGGATCGTTATTCGTGATTTCATCGTTAATCGACAATCTTTCGTTTGCATGATAATAATAATAATTTTCTTTAAAATTGTTTGCAACTGATTTCAAACGAACGAATCTCATTATTTATTACGCAATTACCGCGAAGACATCGACAGTAAAATCTTTCGTAGAAAAGGGAACACCTAAGAAAATCGTAGAAAGGAGCGTCCCGAAGGGATTCGCTTTCATTGAACGCCAATCTTAATACTCCCATATCGCGGGAAACGTGACAATAGTGCTCTGCTTGAATGGTATTTTGTGTATAGTTCCTTGGGATGTTTGCCTGTGATAAGAATACCGTATATCAGTGCTTCTCAAACCTCGCCTCTCTGACTTGGCTCACGCGTCCGACCATTACTCGCTGTATCTACTTGAGGTTCTCTGTTCGTTGAAATCCGTAGAGAAGTTCCAGGCACAACGGAACGCAAAGAGCTTTGTTAGTCCCTGCGTTTATTATGACGTATTCTTTAGCTGGGTTTCGCTAGTCTCTCTCTCTCTCTCTCTCTCTCTCGTTTGCATGAAAATAACGAACCCGATTAGCATACAGACACGATGAAATCCTAAAACCACTTCGACCCGTGGAGGCCGCGGATCACGTACGTCTCTCGCTGTACCACGTAGGCAGAATCTGAAATCATGGATTTTCCACAGCCAGAATTCTCGGGGTCTGGGCTGCTGGATCCCCAACCCGAACGTGGCAGATTATCTCTGACGGATAGCACCGCGTTTTAGGTCTATTCCGTCCGGAAATGAGCGGATGGTATCCCACCGAGGGAACATCCGACTACTTACTCGTCCATCCGTGAAATCGTGTCGTGATTTCGCGATTACGCTTCAATTCCGCACCCCTCGCAAGGTTTTCGAACCTGTCGGCCAAGGGGGGAAGGGGAGGGTAGAAGCAATTCTTCCCAAATCGGAGCTTTCCAAACTGATTTGGTCCAAGTGGCCACCTTCTTCAGACGAAACGTCGCTTATCATAGCATTCCTCTCCTCAAAGTCTACCTTTTTCGAGCGAACACGAACAACTTCCATAAATGTTGAAATTTCTAATTGAAAACTTATTTTTATCAAAATAAAATATAGCCTATGTTACTCAGACATATCCTAGCTTTCTATTCCCTAAAAAACTGTGAGAATCGGTTCCCAAATTTCAGAGATTACTCGCTACGTACAAACAATGTTTTCTATTGGTAGAGATTATCGCAACTTTTAGCACGTTTGTTTAAAGTGGTACATTTCGGCGATTCGAGCTTTTTGTTTGGCTGTAGGTCCATTTTTCAGGAATTTGTCCTAGAAACGCGAAGTCCGTTTCCCGGAGGATACGCGATTCGAGTCGGAAATAATTTCCATTGTTCGTCCCACGGGGAATGGATTTCGTTGTTGACCGTGTGCAACGCTGAAAAGAAGCGTGACGTTTGAATCGCACGGCAACACGTCGAGAATTATTCGTTTACGAATGCCTCGAAAAAAGGCGAGACTGTGGGAAAAAATCGTGGCGAGACGAGCGACGCCGACGGATTGAAAATTGCATATCGGAGAACGAATCGCGCAGTATTTGCACGAAGGAAGCGACGAGAATCCAAAATAGTAAATACGGGTTATAAATAATTAATAGTACAAAGAATTATACATTTATTTCTCCTTATGTCTAATTCTTTGTAATTGTATGCATACGTAAAAAAAAATATAATATTGTATATCTACTACTTGTGTGCGTATTTTACAAAAAAATTCTGAGAATGTACAACAGTGTCTGACCCGGTTCGCAAATGGTTCTTTCTATAAACAATTGGCAAGAGGATCATCCGTTAACGTTGCAGGGGCGTTACAAGAAACGAGCGAAAATGTCTGCGAATTAAAATGTTGGCTGCATTCCAAATGAGCATGGCTCGAATTAAAACAAACTCGAGGTTCGAACATGCGCTGGGAATACTTGTGAGTTAGCGTCGAATTTAATACTTTCTAATGGTCTCGTTCGTAACCCAAGCTACCCTGTATGATTATTAAATCGTAATTAACCGAAACCTCTATTTTATTACGTAATTACCATTTGTATGATAATTTTGCAATACCGTGCTCAGACTAATAACACTTCGGAATATTCTTCATCTTTATATGCATCGAACGTTTAATTGGAAAGCGTTCGAATGCTTTTGCGAGTCACTATGCGCACACCAGCTGCATCGTTTGTAATTGAATCTGACCGCGGATCATCCATACACGGGGAATTGTAATTAATCGCGAAATCTTATCGCAGACATTGCAAATAAATTTTTCCTCCCTGGCCAAACATGAAAAAGGGAAATTAAACAAACCCCTTCTAAAGTAACAGGGAAAATAACTCGAATATTCATGAATTTAATTTAAACTTCAACTAAAAGTAAGTGCTCGTCTATTTAGAAATTAAAAAGAGAATTCTTGTGTATCATCGAAATCTTGTCCTAGTTTATAAAATTATCCTCTGTAGAGGGTCTCAGTTTCGACTGAATCGAAGCTTCCAGTGTCTACCAGCAATACTCAGCGACGACGTTCAGCTCTATATCGTAATTCTCGTATTGGGTTGGTAGAATCTAGGTTTGCATTCTCAGCAAATCCTTATTCCAAGGACTAGATAGCAGGATGTATCTTTCTGGCACAAGAACGGAACCTTGGGACAAAATCTTGTTGGTCTCTGTGCTAAGACTTTACTATTGCGAACAATTTTACTTTACTTTTCAACGAGTCATTTTCTTTTCATAATATTCATGTAGATCCCCAAGTTCCACCCAGAAGAAAACGTTGAAATTAGTTGAAATTCACGCGACTGAAGCACCGAAGAACAGAAACGTGGCATCGGGCATGGGAATCGGTGTTCCCAGAGTCGATTGAATCGATCGAACATCGATTTCGTGTGAGTAATTGCCGGCGTAAGTTCAGGTAACCCGAATAATCGGCAGAACAAACATGGATGGCAGGTCAGACGAGAGGAGATATTGGAAACCGTCTGCTGGCACGTGAATTCCGTGGCTGTTGTACGCATGGACGAAGGAATCGCTGCAGTAACTCGAGCATTTTGAGATCCTCGATTCCATCCAAGAGGGTATAAATCATCTCGAGCGTGAAGTGTACACACGCTACCCGAGTTACGGAACCCCTTCACATTTGCCAACCTACTCCTCGGCCAGCCCGAGATTTCGCATGCCCCCGTCCTGAGGTTATTTGCGAACTTGTCCTCGGTTCAAAGGAAAATTCCACCACGTCATCTACTTTCCGGAAAATGCGCCGCGAATTACATTGTTTGCGTCCGCGTGCGTCCTCTAATCTAAAACTTCTTCAACTTTTTAGGCTCGACAGCTGTTCCGAGCGAGATTCTTGCTCTCTTGGGCGAGCTTTAACGAAATTTAGAAGGAAAACACCTGACACGGGTGTCTGTAATCTCGAATTTAATAATAAAGTTAAGGTCGCGAGGGTGTAGGTTGGAATGTACGTACTTTGAAATTACTGTTTAGCCAAATATTAAATAATATACAGTGCATGCAATTTAAAGTGCGCGCTTGGAATAAAAATATGTTTTCAATTAGAAATCTGAATATTTACGAAAATTGTGGCAATACGAAATATCATATAAAATAGAATATACAGCCAGTCTTAGAAGGATTTTAAATTTCACACGACAAATCATTCTGCTCCAACCAGTACGAAAAATGGCTATCCTCGACTTCCCGCTGCGATTCTGGGGTGAATCACACCTATCGCCGATCAGCCTTGGTTTTCCGCCCGCGCTATCAGGCGCCAAGAGCCAGAAAGTTCGCCTAACTAGGGATTGTCACAGTTTCGAAAGTCTGCGGCGCGATTCCGGCGCCAGTTACAAACGTATCTGTCGCCATCTAAAGGGAGATTAAACGGCGTTTATAGCGGCGAACTTTTGCCTTAATTGCAACACCGGAATCCGGAAACGTTTAAGACCTGGAAAAAGGCTCGTTGGAACATCAAAAGCAACGGGAGATGCTTGCTCAGCAACGCGCGAGAAAGGAGGAGCGCCAGCTTCTTTGACGACTTCTTGGCGGTTTCTATATTGTCGCATTCCTCGCTAATCGATCGCCATTTTTCACATAAAAATCATTTTTGTGTAATAAAGACTGGGGAAAATGATGAATTCTCAGAGGGGAGGCTTGTCGTTAGGGTGCGTCAGTTTAGGCCAGTATTCTTTGTTCAAGTGGCGATTGAAAAACTGACGGCACATGTTAAAATAAAAATTTTCGTGTAAATTTGTATCTCAATAACAGACTTAAAATCAGTAAAAAAACAGCAGGGATGCTGTAGGTAGACTCTGATACGTTCTCGAGGTAGGTATTAGTTCCGATCTCTGGCCCAATTTAATCTTAACGCGAGATCGATATCTTATTCGAAGGGATATAAACTTTGCAATATGGTGGGATCTATTCGGGTGGAACGTTTCCGTCGATATACGGCGAAATAAAATAAAATATTGCCTTCTCGCTAGAAGGAGCATGAACATTCTGGAGACACTTGATATTTATTAAAAAAAACCTATATGTAAAAAGTTTTCGAAGAGGGGCTTTAGCATTTTATTTTTAGTTGAACACGAATGGCATGGAATGTATATAAAATAATGGAACGATCAATTGTACTATGTAATATAATAATTAATCTTTGCAGAGTAATTTGTCGACCGTTCATGAGAATTTCCATACTTTGACAGACCGGTTTTTTTTTTATTTTTATTTTCTCGCGAATAAAAATCGCCCTGCGTTGCCTACGTAATCCTTTTACTGGCAGCTCCCTATTAAATAAAAATGTAAATGCAAATTTAAATGCAAATGTTCCCTGTGTACAGCAGAAATTTAACCACCTGGTTGTCAAGGAATTATTATAAATCGTGGACCTTCATGTACGAAATTGCTTCGTATTATACTTCGCTATGGCATATAGTCTTCGATTCTATTCTAATTCTATTCCAACGGATATATAAATTGTTTGGAACAGGGTCGAAGAATTCTAACCGAAAATCGTCGAGAGCAAATTGCTCGAGATCTATCTCCGGTTGAACGTGCTCAATTTCGAATCGAAAGACGATATCTAGACTCGATTCATAGCGAAGGTCGATGGAAACATAGTCCAACGATACGTGGAAGTTTAACAACCGATGGTTGGTCGAAGAATACTGATTCGCTTCGAAATTGAATTCGATTCGACAAATATTATTTTACAGAATATTATTTAGTGGTAATTTACAGACTTCCAGAAACGGTGAAACATATATATCGAATAAATTATTGAGTTTGGATTGTATAAGGGATTGTCTGACCAGGAGTGGATCCATTCTACTGCTCTGGCCAGAGAAGTGAATAGGACCGCGTGTAGTCAGACGAGTAAACTGTGCGTACTGTGTGCGATCAGACAGTTCCATAGCCAATGGAAGTCAACTTTCATCCACGTCAAGTACGTCTCGAGGCCCACAGGTAGAGACGCGTCAGGATTTGCGAGAATCCGCCATAGTTTGACCGAGTTATCCCGCTGGCGATGTGTGGGTAAGCAAGTTAGCTGGTACAAAATACGAGACGATCCTAGACTAATCGGATCCATCATCCTGGCACTCCCGATCAGGTCAATTTGTAGGAGGGAGACGTTACATTTACCACCGTCCATATCGTGCCACGGATTAACTTCGAAATCCGCTGAACGAACCGTTTTCGCCAGCGAACGCCGGATTACTAAAATTTCCTTGCCATGCGAGATTTATCGATGCATTTCGCGGTAGATATCTCTTGAATACCCCCCTACCTTCGACGATGGGTTCACGAAACACCATTCTGCTTTTTTTCATGATTAATCGTATCGATGAACTTCGACTGGGAATAGCGAACCTTTGGTCTGATCCAGGGGCCAAAAGGGCCACCTAGTATTACATATAATACTTGTCAAGTATTACGTCCACTCAAGCAAGCAACACAGTGTTTACTAAAGAATAGAACACAAACAAAGAGAAGTTGTCAATATCTACGGTTCAAATAGGTCACGATGCGCGGTACTATACGTCGTCGTTCATGCTTGCGATACAGCGAACTCCTCAGGCCACACTTGAAAGTTGACTTCCGTCATGGCTCCTGAACGCAGTCGATGCCAAGTTAGCACAAAGAGAGACGAAAAGTGCCCCCGTCTGTTTGATCTGTTCCTCTTGTTTTGCTTTTCCTCTTAGTACACACCCCTCGCCTTTTTTAGTCTCACGTACGGATTATGTCAGTTGGGGGTAGGTCGAATCAGACGTTCCGAATTTTTTTCCCAATGCAATATTTTGTGAAACATGTACGTATTATGTTCTGGCATATAAAAATACTCCTCTAAAATCAGCTTCTCTGCATTCCATAACTCTGATCCCATCGACGTTTAATTCCAGGCTCACGATCAAAGCTGGATGTCCCATGAATCTCGAAAATTTCCCGATGGACACGCAGAGGTGTCCCCTGCAATTTGGCAGCTGTAAGTTTTCTTCTTTGTGTTATAGCTTGGAAAATTTCTCGCATGTTTTGAATACAATAGTCATAGGGAAATCGGATAGTATAAATCGTTTCCAACCGTTCTGGTACCTCGGGGACACCAATTGTCCTTTCTTTCCGAGAACGCGTCGTTAAAGACGACAGAGAGATTTAAGAACCGTAACGGATACGTTCCCACTCCGTGGAGACTTACAACCGAAGCAGAAAAGTGACGCTCGCGAAATCGACGCCTTTTACGAGCCCTCTGCGACACTCGTGGCAAGAAATATTCTCTTGATTGCAGTCGGTTACACGAAGAGGGACGTGGTCTACAAATGGAACAGCGCGCGACAAGTGGCAATCGCGGAGGACATGAAATTATCTCAATTCGATCTGGTCGCCAATCCAACTGCGAATCATTCCACGTTACCTACTCCCGCGCACGGTAAGTCGAAACTCTTTTCGATTAACAAGCTTATGGTCGTGGAACGAGCCACCTGGAATTCCTTAGGTTTTTCGGACTTGTGTACGCTATTTTATCGGACTTGTACATTTGTATCAGCATTTTAAAGCTTTATTACATTATTATTTAACACGTTGACAACTCGTTTATCTGGAGTTTCGAGAGTAACGCCGGATTTATAGTAGTCCTAGAGTGTTAAAACAAGGCGCCATCCGGGAAAAGTGGCGCATATCGTTCGCTAGAAGACCTGGAAAAACTCGACGAACGCTTCTAACCGTGCAATCACGACTGGTCGCCGCGACGCTTGTTTGCGGAGCATTAATCGATGCTAATCCAATTAAAAAGTCCAAGTCTCCGCGACTCAACGTCTTCCACGACGAGCGACGGTACAATGGAAACGCAAGTGGTATAGGAGAGGATGAGGGGGGACGGTGCTTTTCCGCCATAGGATGCTGCAATTAGTCGTCGTTTCTCTCGCTGCCAACTTTCAACGCCCACTCTCCCAGCATCCCCCTCGTTTTCTCGCGTTGGCATCTCGCCCCCTTCTAGCGATCCTCTAAATCAGAATCTCGTATTTATACCTTTATTCCGATACCACGTATTTTACATTTTTAACGTAATTTGGATTTCGATTGTAATCGTAAATCTGCTTATCGTACTCGAGCGAGTAATCTGCTTTCGCAATCGCTATCTATGGGATCTCTACCTCCTTCCTTCTCGATCCTTCGAGTCACTTCCGCTTGCTTCCTCCAGCCATACTTCCGGGACCGCGTCATTTCTTCGCGTCGATATTCCCGGAGAATTCGTAACTGGCGAAACTTTCGAATCGAGTTTCTTTTCCAGTCGTTAAAGAGGATCGTTTTCCTCTCTTTCACGCCTGCCCCTCTCCTCTTTCCACCCTTGTCCCTCTGATCTCGAACAAGTCGTGGCCATCGTCGACGCCCTTTGCCTCCAAACGACTTTTCGCGCGATACCCTTCCACTTCTGATTTTCCTCTTTTATCGTTCGAGTCTCCACGGAGCGCCGCGTCATTAATCAGATTCCAGGGTGGAATTCAACGGTTTCCTTTTACCAGCGTCGCCGTCATTCGTTACCTTTTGACAATTTCTGTCGGACAGTTTTAAACAACGATTTGTTTTCCGGGCTTTCGATATCGCGACGAGCTTTCCTCGCCAGCTACGAATTCGAAAAATGTTCTGTTATATAAATACCTAAATAACATAGACTGTATAAGTATATAGATGCGTAAAAAATTGTTGAATAAATACAGAAAACCTTTCGATTTCAGCCGATTACTCGATGCTGCTGGTGCACTTTCACCTTCAAAGGCACATGGGCAATTTTCTCATACAAGTATACGGACCTTGTGTATTACTGGTCGTTCTATCCTGGGTGTCCTTCTGGTTAAATAGAGAAGCCACTGCTGATCGCGTGTCGCTCGGTGAGTTTGCAAATCTACCTAGATCTGTAACAAAAATATATGTACATACGTATGTTCGTCCAGTCAAACTTTACACAGTAAATTTATTCTACGTGTTTTAATGGCCATTAGGTTGAGACTTACATAGCTCATGTATTGAACTCGTGGTGGTCCATAACAAAATGACTTTGAAATATTTATTTTCGAGGAACGAGACGAAAGGAGTTTATTTTATTTTGTTCAAGGGATAACCACCGTGCTGACGATGACGTTTCTGGGATTGGAGGCCCGCACCGACCTGCCGAAAGTTCCTTATCCCACTGCCCTAGACTTCTTCGTCTTCCTCTCGTTCGGGTTCATTTTCGCCACCATCATACAATTCGCAGTAGTCCACTACTTCACCAAGTACGGATCAGGGGAGTGTTACTTCAGCTCCGACCTCAGTGAAACCGAGAGTTCCAGCGACGAAGAAGAACAACCCCCGCGACCGGTGAGAAAAAAGCAACTCGTTTTCTCCTTTTTCGTAATTTTTAAGTACGCGTCCCTTTCTACGCGCTGCACCCTTTCCTGGAGCTCCTGTTACGCAAGAAACTTTACTATTCTTAGTACAATCTCCTTGTTTTCGTTTTTCTCGAGAAGCTTCGACTTATCGTAACGGAACGTTTTAATTGTATCCTTCTTACTATACGTTCTGGGGTATCGTCGAGTGGGGCTACTCGCCGCATTTTTCCACTCGGAGGCTTTGTTGTGTAAAGTTTGGGTAAGTGGAACGCGAGTACGAAAATGTTTTAATTTCAAGATTGGGGAATCAGGCTGTGGAATAAATTAAAAATGGCTTGGGTGAAATATTAAGAGAGAGAAGTGAACATACAGATACTTCACTTTTGAGTTTGAGAATTAAATTATTAGAAGATTAAAATCAGCAAACATCTCGAAGTGTATATATATCCATACCCTTAAATTTCAAGTTTTTGCATTAGGTAATTACCACGTTAAAAATTCCCCAATCCTGTTTTACGAAGGGTCAAGTTGCCTCGAACGAAATTATTCTCAGTTTTCATTTCGCGAACAAGAAGTGCATACAAGGAAGCAATGAGAATTATTACGGGCAACGAGGCATGATCCTCGACGCGTTAATTTCCATAGAAGAGGAAACACGTGCAGTCAGAATATTACCATCCAAAGAGAAGCATACAAAAGGGATGGAAATTATAAATCCAGATACCGCACGTTGAGTTCGGAAGAGGCTGATTTCAGAGTTGTTTTGATTAAACCAGACTAGATTCGTTTTCGAGTTACGATTAACCCTCTTCGGGGATAAATTATTTCGTTTGAAATGAAGAGAAATTAAAACTGATCTTGACCCACGACGTTTGGCCAACTTGTGACGATGTTGCAGTGGCATTGAGAAATTCAAGTATGAATATTTATTCGCGATCTTAGTGGTTGACATGGTACTCTACTTTACTGACTCTTACCAGCAGAATACTCAACCTTGTACTCCACCAGTATTAAGGGAATTTTCTATCAAGTTCATCTTACCAATAGGACCAATTGGAGAGTTTCCAATTCGCAACACGACGATCACTATTAGTCAAACCACCCTTGCAAAAGCCCTGACGAATCCTTGAAGAGTTCTCGACGAATGATCCTTTTACCAAAGAACATTTCTGTTCCAGGTATCGCAGCTGTCACAAGTGGCACCAGTGGCCCAGGTCCACGCAAAATCTCCGAGCACCTCAACGGGCAGGGAGAATCCCAGCCGCAATTTCACCATGAACGAGGCTGGTTTGATCGAGGTGATACCTCTATCCGCGATTCCAACTCCCAGCAGGGATCCTAGGCTTGGCCACTGGCAGATGTCCTGCGTGGCCTGTAGTCCACCTCCGCGTCAACCTCCACCTCCACGACAACCTCCGCCACCTACAGTGAAGCAAACCACTGGCAGAAAACGACGCAGAAGAACGCCCAGGTACAACTCGGTTTCGAAGATAGACCGCGCGAGCCGCGTCGTATTTCCTCTGCTCTTCATGACGTTGAACGTCTTTTACTGGTACGCCTACCTGAAGAGGAGCGAACGCATAACGTCTCACAACACGTGAGACAAGCCAGCAAATCCGAAGGAATTTCGAGCTCGTCGGGGAAACTCGAGGATAAGTCCGTCTTCTTGGTCGACCAATCTACAATAGGTACATTAAGTAAACGTGTACACGGAACGGGAATTGTTTCGTCAATCGTTTCGGAATCTTTATCGAGCTTTAGGCGAGGACTGAGCAGATCTCTGTGAACACTACAGGGCAAATGTATGCATGGATGTGTGTGGATGTATCAGTTGCGCTGTGTTCTTGTCAGCTGAGGAAGCCATAATTGGCTCGACGATACTTCCTCTGAAAATGTGACCAAGACCCAAGTCGAGCGAACTAGAGGAGCAGCGACAAGATGTACTCTTCTCGTTAGGAACATTATTCAATTGCTGATGAAGCCGCACAAATTTTCCTACACGAAGAGTTTCCCAGAAGGGAAAAAGACTTCAGGATTTTTTTTTTTGGTAAAACGTTGACGATCCAGGATCCAACAGATATCCAGCTATCGATAGACCCTGGGTCTCTATTTATCATACTTCAAAAAATGATTCCTTCTTTACCGCCAATACTTGAGACCGAACCAAGTTTCGAAAGCATTTAATCATCGATTGAATGGTGTTCCTGACCAGCTGACGTGAATTCGTGTCGCCAGATATACAGGGTATCTCATTTTAATCAGTCCAAAATTACTAGCATATTTTATCCTATACATTCTTACCGACAGAGTGCTCTACCTTGTCGACACAATACTCTACCTTACACACCCTTACCAACAGAATACTCTACCTGCTATAGTTTCCTCTATACATGATTCAGGTAAGGAAACATAATTTTTTGTTGTATCTACGTTCGTTTAATTTATGTTGGGCAATCCTGTATATCTGAATCTAGTAAAGACTGCAGCAAACTTTTGGTGTACGATTACTAGGCTGCAGAAAAAATATGCAGAATATACGAGCAAGTGATGTATAGATTATACTGAACGAACATATATGCATAACATGTGTGTGATATGCAAACGCATGTCTACGACTGTGACTGTGGTCATAACGATTTATGAGTTACAATGATAATGATAACGATGATGATGGTTATTAAGGTTTTGGTTGCTATATCTAGATATAATGATGATGACAGCGACATTTGCACATAGTGCATACATGCGGCACACTTGCATGTATTCATAAGTGCATACAAAGTATGCTTTTGCATAAACATCTGCAGTCTAATAATTACGAATGTCTAATTACAGATCGCAAGTGTAGTTTGTAATTAACGATCGAATTAACGATTGATCGATTAATGATTATTTTTATCATGATTACCTCGTTAATCAATTACAGAAGTGATACCAAAATAATCGATTACTGCCGAAGTCTGCCCGAAGGTAGATATCAAACCTCTCTAATTTCGGTTCGAATTTCGAGTGAAGAAATAAATAGTTGCATTTCACCAGAGGCAGGCAAAATTTTATTTGAATAATAGACGACGTATAAAAGCACCGTATTGCGATTTACTTGCAATGTTTATTCGATTGTTCGGTTATTAGTTGTTAGACAAGCTTTTATTCTTATCTAATTTTGTCTGTCTTTGAATTATACCATTGTCAACGGTTCTTGCAAATTCCCAGATGTTCAGTCTATAATCTGAGGATTAACACTCGCCACCCGTATGTTTGTGGGAGAACAAGTTTCAAGTACAAATGATGTGATGTGTATGATAAATATATTAAAAGCTGTTTTAAATTCCTATTGAATGTAAGTTACATTAAGCAAGGAGAAAGGAAAAAGGCACGAACCAGTATGTTCTGTGTCAAGGTGTATATATTGTCAAAGAGAAATATGGAAAATATGTTTTAACCTTTAGAGGAACGTTTAGCGAATGAAAATAGAAGAATCAAATTATAATGCGTATTAGGTGCGACAATAAAAATCAATTTTAAAAACAGCCTCGTCATTCTTTCTAATAAACCTCCTACACACTTTAATTACGCTAACCAACCAGCTTTAAGTAATGAATAGGATTCATAATTGCCCAAGAAGTATCAGAAGTACAATGACTGTTAAAAATTATAATCTATTATTAATAAACTTCAATGCATTCATATTTTGAATTTTGCTAGGTATGTATAATAGCATGAACGGCAGTTAATGGACACAAAAACAGTATCGCCATCTAGCGTCGAGGTCCGAACTAATTTTTGACGTATATACATTTTTTTACTTTTTTCTGGATATTCATATAAGTTTACATCACCATTTACATAATTACATTTCTAATTGTTGATTCGTACACTAATAATTAGTTAATAACAAGTTTTTTTTATGAATAAAAATATCGCAAAATGTGGCGCCATCTCTCGGAATACAGCCCAAGTTTGTCGTGATATAGTTTCAACCTCTTGCCGCT